GCCATGAGAGCATTGAGAAACGCAAAAAGCCGACTTTTTGGCGTCTTCAATATAGTAATAGTCTGAAAATGTCCAAAATAAATGAGAAATGTAGTTGATACACCAAGACAAAGCTGAAAACAACCAAGTTCTAGTAAACAACCCGACGGCATTGACAAAACTACATAGGTTTCTCATCTGAGCATACAGGGCGGAATCGATTTCCTTATAGTCGGTATAGGAGGAGACCATCTCTCCCTCTTCACGACTAACAACAGATCGTAAATTAGAGGGGTGATTGAAGGAGTGAGCTCACTGTTGACGGCCATTCGCTTCTCGTCTTCGTTCACTTCACGGTTTTTCGCATTGACCGATAAGTTCTAACGTCCTTCACACTGTGACCTCCGGTCCTTTTGTTAGAACGATCCCTCAGGTGGATGTGCCTCAAATACTGGACTCAATAAAATCAGGAGATAAATGCGTTCGCGATCCACATGCACTCGGCCTGCAGGATGGGCCAAAATTATTATATAATGGCAGCGCCTGCAGGGGCCCTACCTATTTTCAGAACATACATCGTGAATCAGTCATCGGTTCGTCTTTACAAGTAGTTTTGGTACGGGACATCTCCAGACGACTCAATGAAGCACGTCTTCGTGTAGACGTCTCCGTTGCGTTCAGTCACGAGCCGACCTTTCCACAAGCACTGTCCACACGTCGAGCAGATCTCAGCAATGTAGCAATACAGATAGTATATTCAAACACAAGACCCTCTGTAGACTTGGGAACAACTGCAGATCGAACAGATAGACATAGGAGGCCTACGATTACGTTAAGTAGCAATGATAAGAAGACTGGGCGAAAACTTGCGCAGTAGTGACGCTCATTCTACTCGCGAAATAGCTACAGGAATTAATAATTCATGGAATTTTCTGCGGAGAATCGTGAAAGATCATAGCACACCAAAACATTTTTGCGAGCAGGAAGTAACGAACCGAAATTCATTTTCCAAGTGAGCACACTGAAGGATGACTCATAGCAACTGCTACGCCGATTTCGAAGAAATTGTCATGCAGAACCCCTGCTCACCGACAAAAATATATTTTGTGGTGAAAATGTGCTCAGAAACCAGAACGACAGGGTTTATACGAAGCTTAAAGGAAAGGAAGTGGTACAGCGCAAAGCGCACTCACTTTCTGTGATGGCCTTTGCGGGCATTACCGGTGAGGTGAAAACATCCGTAATTCTTATAACTCAAGGAATCAATATAAATTCGAAGACCTATTTGACGCTGCCATGCACTACAAGGATACTTTGATGATCTGAACCAAATTATCGAGAACAAGCTCCTGACCACAGATCAGATCTTGTCCAAGAATATGTATTCGTAGATAGCGTCCCTCGACTTCGTAACAATCCATCAGTGGCCAGTCCTGGCTTATGTTTTGTTAACTGCTGTTCTTTCGCCGCAGTACGTGATGCGAAAGTCTCACAAGGTTGGCGATTAATGGGCAAAACTTTGGTCTCTTAAAGTACTTGTCAGTGCTGATGAGCTATGGCACATAGGCCATTAAGAAGGCGAGGGCACGCGGGGTCTGGTAGCGTGAGGGATAGAGTACGGTGCTCAGAAAGCACAAGTACGAGTTCGAGTCCCGTTCGAGCCTGAAGTTTTGTCCATAAATCGCCAACCATGTGAGTCCATGTGAGTCCTGAGTTAAACTCCATGGATTCCTTAATGTGGTCAAGCTAGCAAATAAAAGCGTGCGCTAGATCGCACGGGATTGAAATAGTCTAGAGAATGCCTTACAAAAAAGCCGGGCCAATTCTTTGGTAATACGTGACGCCTTCTATGGTCGTATCCAGGCTTCAGTGGAAGCAGAAAGCACCAGATCTCAGTGTCATCATAAGTTTGGCACACTCTGGATAGGAAAAAATGTTGTGGCGGACGTCATCATTCTGCCCACACAATGCCAATGTATCAAGTGGATCAGTATTCGTACAAGAAACCCTATCTTTCATGTTGGTTCTCAAATAGCCGTCTTCGAAAAACTGGGAGTAGCAGTTTACACGGAAGGGAGGGTTTCAAATCGCAGTTCGATCCCAGGGTGGTTGTGGGACTCGTCAGTACGTTCGTCGTTACTTTTCCCTCTACCATCTAAGACGAGCTTTTTATTACAATTTTCTTTAGAACAAATGTTCACTAATGCAGCGCTCACTCCATTGGTAACAAGCTCTGTAACAAGCCATGAATCATTATTCGATGATTTGGCATTGCATTTGTCATTTTTGCATTGCAAGCTCCGACGCGGTCTGAACGTATTGGCAGTGTAAAATTGGCCAAATTCAATTAACTGCGTGAATGAGCAAAGACATAAAAACTCATTGCCTTGTCACTGCGAAATAACGCTGGACTTTGAAGACATAATTCTTTCTCCCCATCCACCATGGAATCGTTCGTTGACCAAACTTGGAAAAATTGGAGCGAGCGGATAGTATACCATATTCTTCCGGAAAGATTTCTTTTCAAACATGAGCGTCAACGGGACCTTCTTCTTTGGCAAAAGTCTTTCTTTTGTATCGCCTTCAAGGGCTGAACTGAACGATTTATGTTGAAACCTCCAATTGATTCATAAAAGTCCTCTTGGAATGTTTTAGAAGAATTTTTCCTGGTTGAAGCGCTTTATTTGGTTGGCATTTCAAACGAAACGTCGCCTAGAAGGACCTGAGAGTAGTTCGAGGCTCCATTGCTGTGGCTACCCGATCAAACACCCGATTCGCTAGGCTAGTTGTAACCCCCAGTAACTCGAACGTCAAAACATCCCAGCCGGATTACCACCTTCTGCGGTTCCACAAACGTTGATGTCCCTTGATTATGGGAAGAAAAAGCCACAGACCAGATACTTCGAACTAAGTACTTTCAGGTTCTTGAAGACGACGATTCATTCGAAACATTGACCAAATTAAGCGGTTCAACCACAACAAACCTGGACTGCAGAGCAGTAAAAAACACTAAGTAAAATGGTCCGAAAAAACCGAATGAGGAAGTATTTGTCCTTGGAATCATTTCATGAGTATAGAAAATATCAATAGTACAGGATGGTGCACAGGAAAACATCCACAGTACAGAAAGTAAAAGGAAAAGGACAAACCAGGTAAACGCTGTGATTGCGGAAGGATAACGGTCCAAATTTGAGTGCAATGATTACGAAAAACTGAAGCAATTTGAGACGGAGCATCACTGAGCGATGAAATGTACATACGTGAATGGACTAACCCATGAATTTCCCGTGGTTTTGTGAAACACTTTACGCAAACATCTCATGACACCCAAATAGTTATCGTTGTTTACAGTTAGGCCTTGCGAAAGAAACACGCAATGCACAACAAACATCACGACAATTATAGAAGACCATCAAAACAACATTGATTTCTGAGCGATTTGAAGTGATTATTCTGGTCTTGCCGCTCTTGAGAACCATATTCGCATGGTTGTTTTCTTTTTTTCTGACGCCTGATCCATTATTGGGTCCGAGAAATGTAAAGCATGGAAATGGTTCAGGACGGACGGAGGTAGTGTAGTGCTAAGTGACAAAGTATGATGGCTCCGGGTTGTTTGAGTTTAGCACTTAATTCGGTTGGAGGATAAAATCCCTGATCTGTAGATTAGGTGGTCACTGCAAGTGATAGTGAGCGTTTCCGAGCACCGCAGACCAAATTCAATAACTTCGTCAATGGTATGAGGTGTTGTGAAACCACCATTACCCTTTTCATTCCAGAACAAAACAAATGCATAAAATCTGAGCAAATGATGGCAATGGCATGAAATTCGGTGCATGAGTCAATAGCTATTTGGAATGATTGCTGAATCGTGAGGTTTAAAATGCAAGCAATCATTTTGTTTGAAACTGTAGTATCTATACTGCGCTGTATATAATTCTGTACATCTACCTGTCGTCTGTCTGTCTGCCTGTCTGTTTGTCTGTCTGTTTATCTCTTCTCGGTTTGCTACGAAAAGCTACATTACCTAGGGAAGCACCTGGAGAGGTCGGGTCAAGATTGGTATGGGTATGGCATGGGGCAACTTCAAAGGAACCTAAGTGAACTCGGCGAAGCTCTAGTACGAGGCACAATGAGCGGTCCGAAGTACACGGCGCTCTAGAGTTGAGATTGAAAAATTGTTTCTCATGCATACATAGATCTATGTATTTGCGTTTGCTAGTTGGAAATATGTTAACGAATGTAAGGGACTGGAGGATGCCCCTTCCTCTAGCATCGTGAAAGCTCTTTGGAAAGCCTTTGTTGTTTGAGTACGCAGTCAGAAGACATCAAGCTATCACAGGTACACCAGTTCAACCTATAAGGATCTTCTGGAAATACTAGCATAGTAATCACGCCTGAATGATCCCCGGCAGTGACTATGTCCATGAAGCCGTAGCTCATGACGCATCCAAATGCCCCTACGATGATGAGGGAAAGTTTTGAGGACAGCAAGTCGTAGATGCATTGATTGATGGCATTCGAGCTTCTTCAGGGGAATCTGTTGCTCCACGACAAATTGAAATTCTTCGAATGTGAAAAACAGGAAAGTCGTCGTATCCGTATAAGATGATCTGATAAAAAATGCAATTTTAGGGATCATCGCCACTAGGCCTAAGTCCATCAGCGGTTTCACTCACCGTGGGACGTTAAGCCTTCAAGAAATCATCAAAAGAATCATCATATATTAATTCAACATCACAAATCATATTGTACAACAACGATGAATCTAGCAATCAGTAAAACGAAAATCACAGACAGACCGATAAGGAGGCCATTTGGCAAGAAGAAATGCCATCGATTGATAAAATGCGAAATACCCTGAGCATGAGTGAATACAGAGCGGACCATGGCAATGAAAGTGAAGTTTGTGAGCGCCGAAGAAGTGAAAATCGGAAAAGGCATTGAAATGATATGTGCAATCAGTAATTACAGCACAAAATAGTATAACAATAACAAACAATTATCTACATGACATCCGATGATCACATAGCAGTTTCTATCACGGGTTTGTTAGTTCCGAATCCGCCAGGTTTCCTAGATTGCTCTGCTAGTGGGTTATAAAGATCCACGAACGAACTCTGAGGGGCTGTGGGAAGTTTCTGAGCCGGAATGGAGGGCGGCTGTGCCGGTACTGGCCGATACTGATTAGTTGCGGCAAAGGTCTGAAGATTTGGATTTGAACGGCTCGGGTTGAGACGTTGGGGTTGCGGCTCATATCGTCGTGGTGGTTCTGGCTTTGGTGGGATAAGGCATCGGTTTTGCACAGTACTCTCCGAAGCCGTCGACGACTGCTCACTCCAAGAGCCGTCCGTCAGCGTTGAGTCTCTTTCTGAAAAAAAAAGGGTCGAGTTTTTACCTTTTTGAGAGGAGACCTACCCTCATGGTATTCTAGAAAGTTGATTTTCCTTCTCAATTTTGAAAAACCGAAATGCCACGGAACCCTTATGAAATGGTCGTTTTCTTTCCCTTTTAGCCAAGGCAGACCTTCATTCCCGATACGATGAAAAGAATCTTGACGTTTCAATTGGCAAATACCACGATTTAGGTGCCACACATGGCTAGATCACCGCTCTCCTGCTTCTTGGACCTTTTAACTACCACTTTTTGGAGCACATTATGGAGATCCTGGCCAAGGAGAAGTTACCCACTTTTGTGACCTCAGAAATGCTGGTGCTGACATCTTCTCAAAGAAAGGACTAGCCAACTTTTCCCCGTACATAGTGAATGTCTTTGATAAAGTCGTGGTGGATTCCCCGACACAATGAGTTAGGGTCCAAATAAAATGCGGAAGACTTCGAAACGTGCATGGAAGTGTTTCAAAACGTTTCCTTCAATCTAACATATTTCTTTTTAGACTTCCAAGATCACTACTATTTTAAAATATGTTCAGTTTTATTGCAATTAGCCTCGAAATTTGTTTAGCCCATGAATCCATCAGTGTCCAAAAGGAATCGTCGGCTAGAGCAAATGATCTAATGAAAGTGAACCAAGTAAGGCAGTTTTTTGGGCAGAGTTTGTAAGCTGAACTGAGACTTTCTAGTAGCAGTAGCTGGATATGGACAACGTTTACTGGCAACAACAGCATGCTGTTCACCTATACAGGCATTTCCGAAATTTACGAACAGGTTTTCATTGAGTAAGGGACCTTCGGACAGCATTACTGTTTGATTCGTGTTTTGCAAGGCCAACACAGTGTCTGATGAGCAAGCCGTCGTCGAATTAATACCATTTATCATTTATATTAAATTTAACTTTTTGTGACCTAGGCCACTTTTAATCCTGCTGCAGAAAACCTTCATTTTTTCCTTCCAGTACAGCTATCCAAAAGAAGGGTGAATGAAGAGCGAACCTGATTCTGTAGGGCACGTAGAACATGGGCCAGTGATCGTAGAAGAGCATGAGGTATCACTGCGTGTGTCTCGCACACGCACACCTTCGCGCTGCAGTGGTTGGAAGGTGTTCATCGTGGGAATCTCCTCGTAAGGATTAGGATTCGTGGATACTTTATGCCTGAAAAATGAGAAATAGACACTGAGCTTATCATAACTGCTGGAAAGCTAGATTATAACACGCATACCTCACAGAAACTCTGCCACTATAGTATCCTTCAGATGAGACATCTGTAGTAGATGGTTTAGACTTCGAGTAAGTAGTATATGATGCCGTCCCTCTGCAATCATTGATTTCAACTGTGCGGCTCATAAATTTGGATAAATCGCATATTGTAAATACGGTGACTATTACATGCCCTACAACAATGATGCTCCATCATTTTCCTTTTTGGTAACAGGTAGTTTGAGAGACAATTTGATTCATGACAGTACTCAGCTGAATATGTGTAGACCAGTTGTATATAGGCTTCCAACACATGGCCTTTTGTAAGTTTTTTGATCTCAATCCAGATGGGTTCTATCTTCCTCTTCAGAGTTTTATAAAGAAATAGCGTTTGAGTCAAATAATGATGCGCAACCGTGAAATGCACTTTCAAAAGCAATTAATATCACTGTGACGTAGGAAAGGAGATACGAAGATCATATTAAGATCATGTTGTGGCACGTTTGTTCGGATACTGTGCGATATCCCTGTTTGGCCTTTGAATGTGAATTTATGCCTTAAGGTGAGACCCTTCGCAATGCCCTACAGACCTGGGAAGCTGCAGAGGGCGACTCCGATTTAAATTTATGCCTGAGGAAACCACTCGGCAGCCTAATAGAGTAGTCCGAACTCTCAGATGAATGAATTCCAAACAAATGACTGATATATCTTTACGATTACGAAGAGAAAATAGGATTGGTTCGCAGGCCAAAAAATGCCGTTCGTTCCGGTACTGTTCGAAAAAAAAAACAGAATGTAAATCCTGCTCTAATCAGGAGCAATCAGGACAGGAGGGTAAGTCCTCACCTTGTCGTATCCAAGGAATTCAGTCGGTCATAGGTACGATCTGTGGATAGAGAGTCTGAGCATTCCGTGTGTACAGTCTCGGTCGGCGAACGGGAAGAGCCTACTCGACCAGTCGGGGCGTGAGGCGTTTTCCTAATGAAAGAGGGAAGTAATAAAAATCATTTCACCATAAAAACGGATCAAAATATTTTAACTTCTAGATTACAGCTAACCCATTTCCGGCAGAAGCTATTCGTCAGTCATGTCTAAATGCATGCCGAAAAATGTCCAAGTTAAGCAGGTAGCTTAAGCTGCAGCGGATGATAAAACAAGAAATCAAGAGAAATTCTGTGGCTGCATTGCTTACTTCCACTAATCCCATTCTATCCCCTGCATGGTTGGTCGATTGTAAGACGGTTGTACCATTTTTAAGCTATTATCGGACTTTTTTTTGCAATGCTTCCTATTTTGGTTTAACAAGTATGAAGAGAATTCAGTCGAAGTTCGCAGAAGATTTTGAACGATACCTAGTGGTGATGAACGGATCCCCATAAGCGTTGATGGTGGAAGAACTGAGAGTAGCCTTGGCTGACTGATGGGATGGGGGTTGCTTGCGATGAGGAGCCGATGCTTTCCTGAAAAACAGCATTTTGGACAGGACTAACTGATCTTTTCAAGTTATTTCCACGCTAGATCTCATCGACAAGCGGAGGGTGTAAATGATCATTTCAAACAACACTGAGAGGTTCTGTTAAGAACTGTGTAATCTATCAGGTGGTTCAGAAGGTATCTGCCGAAAAGTTTGCAACAGTTCAAGGTTTTTTCTGAGATGTTCTGATGCTTTTGAAAAATTGCTATGCAAGCCCAGCCCTAGCCACTTGTATGCGCATATCCGACTTTGGCTCCTGTTTTTTGTTTAGGCTTATAGAAACCGAACTATCTCCCATATTCGTCGAGTTGTCTATCCACTACCCAAGGCCATCGGAGCTTGTGTCGGGTACTCGACCTTTGAGTCTCTTCCAGACGACTCTATGCTCGCGTCAATCCTACGAAAAGCCGCAAAAAGTTCGAAGCTGAGCGTCGATCTGATTGCCGACAGCGAAGCCGTGGAAGCTCTGAACTTGGAATGCGCATGCAAGTGTTTAGTGACTCCCAATACCATTCTATGGAAACGACAAGAAAATCTCTCAAAAAATCTGGACTTTTGGAAATTTTCCCTGAAATTTCCCGAACACCCTAATATTCTACATTACACATTTGTATTCATACATGAAGCCTTCTAGAAGCATTTGTAGCCTTTAAATTGCAGGTTCAACCCCAGCGAGGGCTATTCTCAATTGGGTTCAAAATATCTCTACTGAACTCTTACCTCTGCAATTTGATACTGGCTCTAATGATGTTCTTCCGCTCGATGCTGTCCTCGTTCCTTTTTCGTGACTTGATGCACCAACATAAGGCAAGTAGGAATAGGATCGCTACCAGTATTGAAATCAAAACCACTGCTATCACGATTCCAGCACGCCACATCACTGGCTCGATGTATGGTTGGGTTCCTCAACAGCAAATGGTTATCTTTAGCAGAAATCGAGCTTGTTGCATCATTACGGCTAATGTAGGAATGCTAAAAATCATACCTTTTTCACAGACGAATGACATCAGGTTATTGCAATTTTGTGAGCCAACTTTGCCCGTTCTCGAGCTCAACCAGCCACATTGTGTAGATGGAATTGATACTGAAGAGATCCAGACAATTGTGTCTGAGCGACTCTGAATAGGATAATATCAGCCTGAGCGAACTATCTTTTCACTACGGTCTATATTCAGCGAATCCCAAAGCCTATTCTATCCGATGAGTGTCAGCGGGCAAAACATTTGATTCTCTAGAAGTATTCTTTTCATTCAACGTAACTTTAAACAACCAAATTCATATTTATTGCCTATTTCACCTCCAATGAAACTCTTTTCCCCCTCTGTCAAGTATCTCAGGTTCATGTCTAACGGTTTGCCGTCCTATTGCCCTATTTTTTGCATGTATATCAATGGCCAACTAATCTAGAACATCATGAGATTTGGAACTCACGTGGAACTTACTCATCCATCATGTCGCGCACATTTGCTGAGCAGAGCAAACTGTCTAACCAAATGAAAGCAGTTTGAAGCCAGCATCATTCGAAGAATATAAGGATACCGAGACATCTTCTTTACTTTAGATGGTATTCTAATACTTTTACTATTATTATTTACTCACTGCTATTCAATTATTTCAATCCTTCTTACGGGCTCCTTTATTTTATCATGCGCGAGAGGGGAATTCGCAATTTTGGTATGCGAAAAACGACGTCAAAACATATTCAAAACCTACAGCAAATGCATCAAATCTCTCAGCATCGGTGAGGTACTGCTGATTGAACTGATCAATCCGACGAGCTATTTCCTTTTGACGAGGATCATCTGTTCGTAGATATGGCACGAAAGCATCCATCGCCTACAACAATATGATATTTTACTTAAATACTTAAAGTCACTGTCTGTTCTCACTAGTCTGCTTGAAGTAGACTAAGCTGGCGCGTACAACTTCTTACTACTGAATCTCTTTGGAATACTGAATCCCCTTGGAAAATCCATCGGTCTGGCTTCAAGTTAAAATGATCAGGCTAGGTATGATATTCATGGATCAGGATATCCAAATCTTGATCTTTGAATACTGTTGTAAATGAAGAAATAAGTCCCTCAGCTTTGATTAGTCCTATTTTGGGGTGCACTCCCATACTCGACTTCCATTCAAAAACATAATGGCGTTCTTAAGTGTATGTGGCCTACACAATGAATGCGGCGGCTAGCCGAAGTACGAGCCGAAAATTTCAATTCCCGGACGAGTCCAGTACCAATTAGCTGACCTAATAAGAATATGGAAGGTTTGGTTTGTTCGGGCACGTACCAATGCGAGGTTCAATCCCCAAACCGTGCTTGCGATAGTGCGCTACTTGGCCCTACGGTACCTCCACCCCCGCTGTAAACACAAATTGATACTGCAAGAGGCTCATCAAATGTCTCCAGAATTCCGAAATCAGCTCACTACTGCTTTGACTACGCCCACTATTGAGAATCCCCTCCCACCGTGAGTGGGTCTTCTTCAGTTAATTTGTTGGGCCATTCCTCACTTTGACTTAATTTTTCGCGGTGTTCGGTCTGTTATGAATTCAAATAAGATGTTCAGCCCATGGTACCGCCCACTCCGGCACATGTTTCGCTTCCTCATGAATGGGGTAAGCAGAGCTCACATGTGCTGTGTTGATCTTGCCCTTACCCAACCCATCCCAAACTTGATTCTAATTTTCCAAATGCCTCTTCAGGTAATATAGAATTTCATGACGGACAGACAGGCGGACAGACACGTACAAAGGCAAGCTTGTTATTTGTAACGAGCATACTTCATTTCTAACAATGGCAGTAAAGTGGTGCCCCAAGGATGATGGTATATGGAGGATGAAAAAAGCGGATATCTGACCTCACAATACAATGTCGCGTCAGCGTAAGTAGCTGCCGCTCCAACAAACAGAAAACATGATTTGAACTCTTCATGTCCTGCCAGAAACCATCCAGCTGGGCAATCACCTTCGATGAGAGAAGAATTCGACTCAAGCACTGGCTGATAGTCCACCTGAAATCGGAGCGTCAACTATTAAACCCTCTGACAGGTCTATCACATTGTTATCTATTAACACAAACCTTGATAAGATATGGATAATCAGAAAAATCGCGAATTTTTCCAGCCGCAACGCTCTCAACACCCGGATAGCCCCAGTAGTTGAGTCGAGCATCTATCGAGCCGATATCGTACCTAAAGTTTTACATGCCGTCACTCTAAATGTAGTCTTATTCAGAACAAAGAATTAAGGCTCGAAGGGTTGGCAGCGTAGAACTCACTGGGTTCGTTTAGACGTTGTAAGTTCGTAAGGATTCTTTCTGTTGTTGAGCACGTTACCTCTGTAGTGCTGCTGAGAACTCCCCGCTGAAAAAAACGCTTATGATCAGAAATTTGGCTCCTCAAGAACTCAATGATAACCGGAGCCCATTATTTCGGGTTCACGACTCAGAGGCTCTAATCAGAGCATTTCTCGTCTTTGAGAAAGTAGAGAAAATTAAGATAAAGTCCTACAAGAAATCAATCAAAAATTAATAGTTGATGCTCTAATGTCTCGGCAAAAAGATAATACGATAGTGATCCTCAATCCAGCGATGACGTAAAAGCATCTTTGAGATCCGAATCCGAAACCCTTAAATCCTTAGCGAGTATGGGTCCTCACTTCCGTTTCTTTCCCCTTTTTGGACAAGAAGCTGACGTAGGTAGTCTTTCTGTACAATTGTACTTACCCAGTATAGTACTGCGATATCGCTCACTTTCTGTTCCAACATGGGTCCACCAATCGAATGAAACACCCTCCTGGGTGATCACCTGAAAGAGTTAGCGTACAGACGGCAGCAAAGAGTGCTGACCACAAAGAACCCATTTCCCCTGGAGCCTACACAAATACAGTAGCAATATCCTTTGGCGGATAAGAACGCCTCTTGAGGGAAACCAAATGCAAAGGGTAGTGGGTACTGACCTGCCGCCTCGGCCTTCGAAGAAACTCATCGTGCTCTTTCTCAGGCAGATAACCAAATTGTTCCTAAAAGAGATCATCGCTGGGTATGTAAGATGTAGAATTGATTGCAAGGAGACATTCCAGTTGTTGTATTCAAATTCAGTTTTCCCTAATCATACAAACGATTAATTTTGCAGAAATACCGGGAAGTTGGTCAAACTGCTCACCATGTACTGATGGCCATGACCAAGGGCGATATTCTCTTCGAAGTTGTTGTAGAGGAACGTCTGAGCTTCCGATGATATACGGGAGTATCTGTAATCCAAAATTTAACCTTAGCTCTCCAATCACTGCAAAAAAGGTGACGCATACCCTTTTGAGTCAACTGTGTGCAGTCCTACATTGCCGTAGAAGATGTTTCTAGACATATTCACTGACATGTCGAGTATTCTGACGGTATCGTGATAGAGGGCGTAGTTGTGTGAGACAATATTGTTAAGCATGGTAACCATCTTAAAACGAATGTTTATTAGTTGGCCTGAGGTCATTCCGGACCCCTCCCTTACCTGATAGTTGTTGCCATAGAGGGCAATAGTTGTGCTGTTACTGTTCCAGGAGAACAGGTTGTTTTTTACAACAGCATTCAGGCGAGCGACAGCGGACGACGACCTTGCCGACATCAGAAGACCGCCACGATTGTAAGCAAGAGAATTTCCGCGGAATAGAACAAACTAAAAACAGTCACTGCCTTCACAAGTATAAAGTCGATTACAACTAAGTAACCCGCACAATTCCAGGCAGATCTTCAGGAAACGTTGAAGAACCCTCCTAGTTGATCTCATGAGTGATTTGGTTGAGGCACTAACTACTTTTCGCGGAACTACTACTTCCTACACAAACTCCCGCAGCATTAATGGTATTGGAAACCTATATGTTCAAGAGAATGCGAATCTCGAATAAGGTTCCGATTGATGCTGCGGGAGTCTGTGTAAGAAGTCCTCCGGGAAACGAGTTAAAAGCGCTTTGGTTTTTGAATATTGGATTGTGGACAAGATAGAGGTACAATCGAAGAGCATGGAGTACGTCTTCGAACAAAAACGTAGGAGGGTTCCAAAATTTTTCATTGTTCTAATTAAGATATTGCTCTCTAAAAGTCAACAGGCTCCGGAGGAAGAAAACGCCCTCGTTGGAATGATCAGAAAGTAGAATCAAAAAATACAGTGAAATGAGTAATCATTTTACGGGATTTTTTTGATCATTTGAAGCTCTACTGATGAGAAATTATAAAAAGCGAGAATTCCATTCACGGCTTTCTAACCTTGAAAAAGGACTCGCTGAGTCAGTCACATCGTCCATGGTACTCTAAATTTGCAAAGTCCCAAGTTTCAAGCCCTACACCTCATTTACCATCCATTTTCGTTTAACGATGACAGCAACACGGTGAGGTTAGTAGTTGTTGTACAGTAACTGCGATACCGGCACTAACCATGGTATTGTGTAGGTGAAGTTCAACGGCGTGCATCGAGGTGGAAATATTCCCGAAGAGGTGAACGCCATTTCGACTGAATGAGCAGTCCTCTGAAACAATGGTCAGCATCAAATTCTGGTAGCTTCACGTAAATATAAATGGCGCTTATGCAAATTGCAATCTTCGGGGTCCCAGATAAAGTTTCAAACATACGTTCATCACTAAAGGATCTTAATTCTCCTTCAATAAAACAGACTAAGAAGGCAACTCTCATAATTTTCATAGCACCACCAAGTTGAATAGGAAAAGAACTAACTTGCAAATAAGAATCTCTAATAAATGAACTGTACTTACCAATTATTACGGCAGGGCTCATTTCACCAATATTCTGATAAACAACAGCACCTCGGTCGTTATTGTCCACCCTGGATCCTCGAAGTACCACCTGATCCACAGAGCCTAAAGAAGCATTGAACAGCGCTTTAATGGCAAGGGAGAAGTCTACCATAAAAGCAGACGCGAGCGGGGTCAGTGCCCACTTACTTGAATCAGGAGAGCTGGGAATGCTGGAGATCTCTGCTATAAAACCGTACTCGCCATCAGCTGCTGTACCTCGAAAATGTATGGCCAAAACATCGGCGCTGACCGTTTTTGAGAACGGCGTCGAATCGCGATCAATTCTGAAAAATCAACATAAGTATTTCTCAGCCAACTCTGACAGCCAGATATCCGGTGACCCTGGGTCCCTTTGGCTTCGACTAGCCAGAACTGCGTAAGAACTTCAACAACACTTATATCCAATCAGCCATTTGGATTCGATGAAATTATATCACTACAGAACTACATACAACTTCTTCTGAGACTACCTTCAAATACGGGACAACTAATAATCAAATTACGACTGGTTGAGAAACCTCACGAAGAGCCAGAGCAGAAGAACTTTGAAAGTGAACTTGTTCGTCCCTTTAGAGGTGGCAACACACGCGGTCAAAAAATGAACGTTTACGGAGTCCCAACCGAAGGCATAAAAGGCAGAGTTACTCCCAATATATGTCTAACGAACTGGCAATTTTTTGATTCCTGAAGCCTAGAACGGTGGCGGCCGCGATTCGAAAAAGCTGGGGATATCATTTTTGAGTTCCGAGCAATCACCAAAATCTCTACCACGGAGGTGATGTTTCAGAGCAAGAAACAAATGGTAATTAGACGGAGCGAGAACAAGGACAACTGGACAGCATCTCCTTTCCAAGTTCGGCTATTTACTGACAAAACAATTTTGCAACATGCGGTTGAGCGCTGTCGTGAAGAAGGCAATCATTTTCATGCTGCGTACGCTTCCTTCGAACAACTTCGGCCAGCCCTCGTTAAGTTATTCAAAGTAGAGCATTCCCTGAGAATGTCCACCGACGACACAGTAATACCTTCCTCGGACATGGTCCGCTTCTCTGCTTGTCTTGAAGGTGTTTCGTCACGAGGCGCTCGTGGGTTGAGATACGATGACTCTTCTGGATAAACCACAGATATTTGCGACAGCCGTCGGT